AATGTTCATGAATTCAATAAGTAGTGATGAAATGGAGGATTTAATCAATTTTATTTTAAATAAAGTTTATAGTTGAAAATATAATTAGGCACGAATACTGTTGATCCATTTATTAAACATACTTTCACGAATACTGTTGATCCATTTATTTACACCCTAAAATATAATTAGCAGCACTCAAAACCCTATTCAACAAGGTGAAAAAATGGATGCCTTTACTAACTGAGATAAAATGTTAGCTCTAGTTACTGCTGAAAGAGCACAGTTTCTACTAATATCATCCATTGCATCTCAAAACCCTAAACACTCAAACCATTTCATTCTCTTCCTGTCTAAGTTGAAATACACCCTAAAATATAACTAGCAGCGCTCAAAACCCTAAACACTCAAACCATTTCATTCTCTTCCTGTCTAAGTTGAAGTGCTGCTAATTATATTTTAGGCTGTACTTCAACTTAAACAGGGAGAGAATGAAATTGTTTGAGTATTTAGGAAATGAGTTAACAGTTTTAGTTCAATCAGAAGGATTTCAATTCCTGGGAAGTACTAAAGTGGTATAAGATCTCTTAAAACATCACAGCTTTAAACAAACTATACATGTACAAATACTAGTTCTATTAGGATGGAGAAAGTAAAAGGTGATCTTATCAGAGCTTGTAAGTTTATTCAGGGCAATAATAGGTTAAAGATCCCTTTTTTTGTGTTTGTGCTATATTCTGAAATAATAGGACAATCAGACAAAGATTTAAGATTTGGAAAATACAAGCTAGGCTTCAATTAAGACAGTTTTATTTTTCAAACAGGGTGACTGGTTTATGGAATGAGTTACTGTTAATAATAGTGGAACCCAACATATTATAAGAGTTAAAAAGGGGGGAATCAGGGACTTTCTGAATAATAGTTGAAATTTTTATTTTTCCTCAAAGGTGGGTGTGAAAAGACTGTCTTGAAGGACCAAATGATCACTTTTTATGATGTTAAATTATTATGTAACAAATTGAATAGATGTAAAATAGTTACCAAAGTGCCACTAAAATAACGAGGGTGCTTGTACAAGTATGAAGATGTTGTTCCAGTTCCAGAGACACAGAAACACGCGTTTTCCACGACATCATTACAATACAGAAAACATTTATTACGCATGAACTCCTTCTGTTGAGCTTGTAGACGGATTTTTACAACATCAAGAGGATTAACTAGAAATAAAGGAGAATTTTGTGAAATCATTAGAAAACCACATCTTATCAGGGTTAAAATTTTCAATGGGAATTTATACCTGCTGATGTAGAATATTTATATTTTAATCATTATATTTTTCAATAAAAAACAAAACTAAAACATATACCAAATAATTTGATAAGTTGAAATCTAAGTATGAAACAAAATAAAAAACACAGTTACAGTAACTTCATATAACTCACATCCAACCACATTTAAGAATTTACAATATACACATGCATGTTGTAATGTAGTTAAACATACTTCTCAAAATATAATTCCACAGTCCATACAAAAATTATTTTCTTGAACTATTTTAAAATTACTTCACAGACTGAGAAGTACAAGGTTATACATGTTGGATTAAATGTCCAAATGCTAAAGTATTGGCATTTTTCTTAAAATAAACATGCTGTCTACTTCATTGTACTTATCCAACTATTAGAACAAATGCTATAATAGTGTATACATAGACTAATAACTAGCTCTCACTGGATAATAAACTTTCCTAATGATAAAAAGTTTGTTAATCATTAAATTGAGAAAAACCCATTATATGTACCTATTTTAAATTACATTTTAAAAGACACTCTCAGAAACGAATTGAATTTAAAATACCACACTAATAACTTTTATATTATACTAGAAAGAACTACAAATTATTGATTTTCTTTCTCCATAAATACAAGAATTGAATGTTTGTTTACAATCACAAAGTTTTCGTTCCTCAACATTTATACAATTTCAATGATGAAACCCAGAATTGATTTTTAACTTTAATCATTGACTTTAAAACTAGTTTTATAATTTAAAGCATACTTTCAGTGTTATGGTCAATTGTCCCACCTAAATAAAATAAATTGGACTGATCAGAAATCATTCATTAATAACCTCATTAGCTTAAATTAGAACACTACCAATAAAAGAGTAAAAAAAAAAAAAAAGGATGAGAAGTATGAATAGTTAGCCAAATAAATATTCTATTGTTAGTGCCTTATTTTAATAAGTTACCGATTATTTTCTAAATAGTAATCTTAAACATTACTAGTTTGATAAACATTACCAAAGACAGAAGTCACCAATGCTCCTGTACAAGACGATGCCATCTGCTGAAACGGAGTTAAATTAGTTGTGATTTTACCGTTATTGTTAAAATCAATTCTATTGCTGCTTGTTTCTCCTGCTTCCATTGTTGACAAAACCCGGGGATCAAATGGGATCGAAATTCCATGAAATCTAGTAGTGCTCATGATTATTTTCTTTATTTAATATTCTCATTAAGGATTCGGTTTCTTTATTCCATTTTTCTAGAATTATTTAACTTTTCGTTTTATATACTTTTAACAAGAACTGAAGAAGTTGAAATTAGAAGTAGAATCTAGGCTTAAGCTAACACTACTATTAATATTATTATATATTCTTGCCGTTAATAACAGCAACAGTATGTTAAAAACCTAATTTTTTATATATTGTAAAAAATAAACGCCATTCTATTTGTAAATAAGATGATAAATACTTTAAAAAATAAGAATACACAAAGGCACCAGCTGTGCTTTTGAGCTATGTGACGTTCACATGATCTTCCTTTCGTTATCATAACAAACAAGCATGTCCTACAATCTTATTAATAAAAAAAACCCAGTTACAGATCGTGTTCTTAAGCCTTGGGTATAATTACCTCGTCGAAACTATAGAGGGAGCGTTGTGTACTTTTATGCTGATTTTAGGGCATTATTAAGATATTTAATTTCTGTAGTGCATATTGGTGTATAAAAGACACATATTAATATTGGTAATGCAAACCTTATAACACCAAATTTGTTATTTTTCTTTAATTTTAAATTCAATTCTAAACTTACTATTTAAACCAACTGAAGCTTTGTACTGTTAATTGTGGTTTGTGTTTTCGTGGAACGCTCCTGAAGAAGCTGTAAGAGAAAGATTGAGAATTCAATTAAAGAAAAATTTGACGTTATAAGATTGTTTATTACTAGTATTAGTGAGATATGCTCTCAAATATAATATATGGACATTTTTTATCTTATTGAAGTGTACAAGATTATCCGAAGAATCGTCATAGAAAATGCCCTGTTTTTTGGGTGTTGTATTGTGAAGATAATTGGGTGACTGGACACAATAGTAAGATTGCGACAAACGAGCTAGACATATTTATTTTCTTTTAATCGAGTGATTACTTGTTGGAATGAGTTACATTCGTATTCATAGTCAAAGATCAGCAACAGTAGAGGCCAGCACCTACAAAAATGTTTAAGAAAGAAATATATGATTTTCTGAAAAAAGAAAGTAGGTTTAAATTTTTTGTTTTCTCATGTTTGGGGTGCAGGAACTGTCTTTGAGGGCTAAATGGTTCGTTGTCTTTCTTAATCTTATGTTTTGTTGTGTTAGTTTTTGGATATTTAATCACACTATTTTAACATTAGTACATAAGCTTAAATTATTGCAATGCAAAAAAAAATCAATTTCAATACACTTAAAAATTGTCAGTGATAAACGAAATAAAATTATAATGGTTTGAAACAACGAATTTATATAGGACAATCATTACACGAAAAGGTAGGACTCACAAAAAATGGAAAGTAGGTTCTGAATATGAGATATTTATCCTGATAGTGACGTTAGACGTCTGACAAATTTTGGCAGGGCTCCAGCACTATAAAATTTAGCACCACACTATTGCGTATGACTCCTTGATTGAATGACCCAGTTCATTAGGTAATTAAGGCTGAAAGAAAATATATGTAGTTGCTTCTTTGACCAACATTTTATACTAAGACTAGATACGCAGTATGTACAGATATTTTGAAAATGTCTATATTAAATGAAAAGTTAGGAAACGTGTAATGTGTTTGCATACCAGTGGTGTAACAATGTACGAGCCTGGACAGACTACAGCCTGCTCTCTCAACACCCACACCTACAAATCAGAGTCTGCTTGGTGATTCTCACATCTGAATACATCATATTTATCACTTTTCTTAGCTACCAAGGGTTTATACGCCTCCTGTCCATCCATTGTAATTATAAGCCTAACCAAAATTTCGTACCTTGCTACGCCACTGTTGCATACCAGACAGGAAATGTATTACAAAGCAAATCTAGGTTCTGAATTTGACTGCGTTTAAGCAAGAAAGAGACTGGACGCAGTAATGTAATCAAAGGGCAAATCGACATTTATTATCAAAATCAAACCATCAACTAAGCGACGAGTGCACTGGACATAGGATAGTGCTTTTACACGAGAGCTATAGCCATTGATCTGTCTAGGCCTGTTGAAATATGTCTATCTCTGCATCCATATGTATTTTTATATATTCCAAATTAAAAAAAAAAGAGATAGCATTATATGTATTATTCTATAATCTAGACAAGCAAAAGAATAATTGGAAAAATATTAGGTTATGCATGTCATTTCATTTACAGAATTATGAAAACGAAGAGCGTTTGAACAAACTACTGACTGCGATAACAACACATTTTTAATTCTGATAGACAAACTAGCACCAGTGGGGATGTAATAACAAGGAAATATATGTGATTCAAAACTACCAGTAATAAAACAGTTAATAAAAACTTTGCACAGTAATTTTGGTAAAAAAAAAAAGATAAAATCTTGGTTTAAATGAATATAATTTTAAATTGTTGTTTAAGTAGGACTTTAGACAGAGTATACTTAGTAGATTTGAAAACTTTGATGAGCTCCAACTGTCTGTTGAAAGAAAAAGAATATAGAAGTCGGGTGACAAGATTTACAAACTGAAAAATAGCTCAACTTTTGCCCCTAATTTCAAAAGCGTTAAAACAAATTGTAAATAATTTAATTTGTATTTAATTTACTTTAAATATGTTGAACTGTTCCAATATATTTCCAAATGTATTAACATTGGCATCGTTTTGGAATAATTTCAACTAGATTTTTTAATGATCAACACAAAACAAATTAGCAAAAATAGTCAAATCCAAGAAATCTTTAATTATCTACTTTATTCAATATTAAAATTGTCTACTTCATACCTGGATTTATTTAAGAATTAATCTATAATATTTTCAAACATACTAGTTTTAGGTTTTAGCATTAGCTTGAAACTTTTAAGACATGTTTTTGTGAAGAATAAATGAAACTAGACTTTTTTCCCCATTAGACAGTCATAAAAATTCAGTACATGACTATGTAAAATGTGTTTTGACGAAGAGCATTGCCTTAAAGATAGTGTTACGCCTGCGTTCGTTAGTTAATTTTCCGTAAAATTTTTCCGAAGAAACTTTAGCGATACAAGTCCTTTCTTAAATAAAACTGGTTTGTTCTTTCTCAATACAACTTTACAATACACTTAATTTCCACAGTAGCGCTATAACAAACGAAATAATTCACAACTAACGTCTCACGTGCTCGACTCAACAAT